TTTACAATAGAAACTTGAAGAGATGAAGAATTATGCAAAGACACCAATGTTTAACACCCCCTTTCCAGACTGATACAAAAGAACCATCATTCAGCATATATTATACTCTGCCAGCACTGAAATTCAAGCATTTATATTGGCCATGATTAAACGCAACTCTTTGGTGAACTAAAGATACCTAGCCACACAGCTGAAAAGGCCACAACCTTTGTCCTGCAAATACTGTACTAGTTAAAGCAGCAATGACAGCCACAGTATTATTGCTTTACCTGTTCGTTGATAAAGAAAACTGCACTTTGGTTTTTTTTTCTTTCTGAGGTTTTGATGCATGCAGATAAATGGGCTCCTCTTAAAATTCTAACTCATTCCTTGCATCAAAATGGCTGGTATGTCAAATAATCATCTAACTGTGTATTCAGCACTTGCAGTGAGCCAAAAGCTGCTGTAAGGGCTGTATGTGCATCATTCCATTAGAGTTCCACTCAACCCTTAGTGGTAAGTTTTCATATTACAAAGGAGGAAACTGAGGTAAGTCAAATTGGAAATAACTTGTCCAAGGCTATGGAGCTTAAAAAGGATAAGGCTGCACCCCAGCAGTCTGTGGTCAGTGTCTGCACATTTGTCTTTCACGCTTTGCAGCCTCCAACACTAAAACAGCGGAACACACTGAGCCGGAAAGCGTAGGGGTTAGTGCTAGATCAGAGTTCTAACCTGGGGCCTGCCACCTCCTTCCTTCCTCAGAGGACGAGGGTCCCCCTGGCTACCTGCAGTTGCTCTAGCACTCTCCACAACTCCTTCCTGCTTTTGGGCCTTCTGCCACCCAGCCCAGCCTGGCTGAGTCTGCATTCTGCAGATCTGAGCTGCAGAGAAACTTCTCCAGGTCCCCAGGCTGTGCGCCCCTGCTTTGCTCTCTGTACTCTCTAATGCACCACTGCTGTGAACTGTAATTAAATCAGTCTTTGATCAATTATTTGTTTAATGCCTAGCTCCCCTACTTCACTATAAACAGTGGTGGTTCCAGAATTTCTATGTAGATGGGGGCAAGTGATCTGCTTAGGTTGGGGGACTTGGCTTTCAGTGCTTTGTACTTGACAGAAGGCTGAGAAATGTCAGTTGAATATAGAAATGAATGAAGGTGCTACACACTTCTACCCCCACCCGCACCGTGGAGTCACCACTGACTGTGAGCTCCGGCAATAGTGTCTCTCTTTTATCACTGTAATCCCAACACCTTGACTCTGTGCCTGACACACAGGAAGTGCATAATAAATTTTTGTGGAATGAATGAATAATTAAAACAGAGCCTCTGACTTCTTATCTGAAAAAGAACGCTAAGACCCAGGACACAGCTTTTTAAAGCAGCATTACATAGGAAAACATGCTGAGCACAGGTCTGGCACACAGTAAGTACTCCATAAAGGTCTGTCAGTGAATTGGAACTCTTGCCTCTCCTCACTCCCACTAACTCCACTCCCTGGTTCTGGCCAGGCCAGGAGCTTAACAAGAGGGCAAAGCCCAGAACTGAATCCACTCTACTTCCCCGGCCACGGTCTGGTGGGGGTGAAGACGGCTACACTGAAGTTGGGGAGAAAAGACTGTAATTAGCATGGGCAGGAATGAAAGGTTGTTAGGATTTGCCTCCAGCAGAAAAATTATACCTGGGGAAGAGATTGAGCAGCTTTGGAATGAACAAAATCAGATGAAATGGCAAAAAAAAAAAAAAAAATCCAGCACAGGCTTACTGGCCGCCCAACCCAAAAGATTGGGTGTGGTATGTTTAACCTGTTAAGAAAAAAATTTTTGGCATTCGCCCATCTTCCATTCTGTTTCCTCACCCACTGGGTTTTGGGCTGCTGGAGAGGTTTAAAACACAAATCAGTGTGTCATGCGCCTGCTCAAAACCCATAAGAGGATAATATCTGAACCTCCTGGGCCAACTTCAACCTTGCTCATCAAGCTGTGGCCATGGAGGCCTCTGGTTAGCACCTCCATGGCAGGCTTGTCCCCACACAGGGGCTCCACCCAGGCTCCCTCTACCTGACATGTCTCCTCAACCATCCCCAGGCTTCCTCCTTCTGTTTTCTGCACTCAACTCATAACCACAGCTCTCTCTCGGAAAGATATTCCTTGAACCAAATTAAAATCAGGTCCCTCTCCCCATTCCCATATCCCAGGATCCCACTTGCTTACTTTTCCCTTCTAGCACTTATCTGGCCTCAAATCTCTGTCTCTGAGCTCCACAAGGGCGGGGGGCTGTCTGTCTTTGACCACTGAGTCCCCAGACTCAGGGCAGGTCCCAGCACAGAATATATAAATGAATGAATGATTGAATTTCTCATAACATTTGCCCCAAATCTCTTCTCTCTTTAGTTCCCGGGTAAGAGCAGAATATGGTCTCCAGGACCCTCCCAGACACCGAATCTCACTGTGCTTAGGCATCACAGGCTCCTCCAAGCTCAGGACTGGAGGCTCTTCCATCTTCTCACCATCCTAGCAGGCCTGGATTCTCCTTACCTCCTCCTTCAGAAAAGCTGAGAAAAGACTACAAATGTAAGGAACACTGTCTCTTGGCTAATTCATCTAATAAAGGAAACAGGACAGTGAACCACCCCACAACCCTCCCCCAACATCCTGATTTTCTTCCATAGTTCAGAAAGGATTTATTTATTCCCATCCTTTTTCATTGTTTGAGCAAGGCCCATGAGTGAGCACCGTTTGGAAAATTACTGCTCCAACCTTCCTTTCTTAACATGCTTCAATGACTTGCAAGAAACAGGTTTTTAGGTTTCTGATGCTGAGAGGAGTGGTGGCAAAGTAGAAAGAATGGGGTTGCAAAGAACTGGGAAATCAGCACCAGAATTTACCAAATCTTCCATTTACCAGGTACAGGCCCCTTGGCCTCAATTTCTATATCTGACAAATGGGAATAATGATATTGAACTTTAAGACCTGTAAAGGGAAGTCCTGAACAACTGTAAAATACTCTCTTGTCCTCATAAAGAGTTTTTTTTCTTGGCTTTAAGGAAGGTCTTGTCCCTGAAGGGATGACTGAGGTTCCCCTAGGGAGGGCCTGCTCTGCCCCCAGGAGCTGAATAAGGCAATCACACGGTAAATCACACGGTAAAGCTGCATTTGAGTAGGGAGAAAGCATTTTAGACGGGGACTCGGTGACCTTGGGTTCTGGTCTGGGTTTGCAAAACGTTCCTCCGTTGCTTGTCTCCAGAGCCCCAGCCCCAGCCCCAGCCCCAGCCCCAGCCCCAGCCCCAGCCCCAGCCCCAGGCCAGACCTCTGGCTTGGGCTGGGAGCCTGTCATCGGCTCCTCTGACAACAGTCAAGCACAGTCCTGTGATGGCGTAGTTAGAAAAAGACAGCCTCACAAGCTCCTGGAAAAGCCAGAACAAATCTTAAGCAAGACAAATCTTAAGGGGATTCAGGCCCCGGCCCAGCTCTTATCCCCGCATCAAAGCTACCCCCTACCCCTGACTCCCCCGAGGCTACAGCCTCCTCGGTTCCTGGGCGGAGCTGGGCCTGCTGAGAGGGCTCCCCACCTTCCCTGAGTTAGGCCTAATGGCGGGGCCTTTTCTTTTCACCGGCTAGGGCTGATACGCTCCCCCCTGCCCCCCATCATTAACTGCAAAGAAAAGATCCCCGGCCATTTCCATTTCCTCTGCGGCTCAAGAGCCCTGTTATTTAATCCCGTGGCCACCCCGGCAGCATCCTCTGAGCGGCCGCTCCACCCATCCACCTGGCCAATTCTCTGCCGCTCCCGCTTCTCCGGAGGGGAGCTGGTGGGGGTGTTGGGGAAAGGCTCCTACAGTAGCAAAGAGCCTTGGCCTTCGGTAGACAGAGGCTCTCAGGCCCGCATTGTGTGAGGGCTGGGAAACGCATGGGGGTGTACAGGGGAGCAGCTAGTCAGTGCAGCAAAGGGAGGACCGACGGACGCCGGGATACTGCAGACGTTACATTGGGGCGAGGTGGAAGAGGGTGGCTGCGAGGAGAGCTAGGTCTCCTCCGCCAAGAAGCCAGCATCGCCCTTCGGTACTGGAGCCGGTAGAGGCCTCGGCCATGTCGCTGTCCACACCCAAGAAATGGGGGAGGGGTGGTCTGCACTCACACAAGGGAGTCTGAGCATCAGGAAAGGAACTAGATTCACTCGGTAACCACCACTCCGCCACTCTTTGATATGGGCGTTTGACGTTTGCTTAATTATTGGTAAACGCAACTTGAAGACCCCTCCCCCGACGCCGCTAGTCTGGAGAAAAAGAAGGCCCCAGCAGGGGTCTTCCCATTCCCTGCCCCCACGACTGCCTGCGGCAGGTAGAGATCTCTAAATTTAGGTGTGTCCTCCCCCGCCCAACTCTTGGCCTAGGATCCAGAGGCAGCAGTGCCCGCCCCCCCCGTCCCCCCCTCTGCCCCCCCCCCCGCGAAACAGACTGTTCTAGCCCTGGCCCGCAGTGGCGTGAAGGTGGCCTTTACCTCCTCTCGCAGGATGGGAGGGGGCACAGCCCGCGCAGCTGAGCCAGCTGCAGCAGTCGCCGCCGCCCTCCATTCATTAAAAAAAAAAAAGGCGGGGGGGGGGGGCAACAACAACCTCCACCCCTCTTTGTAAAAGAACGACGGCCCCTGGAGGAGCGAGAGTCAGCCCCAACAATCACGGGTTAAGTTCTTTTCCGGCCCCCCATTCATAAAAAAAAAAAGAAGAAAAAAGAAAAAAAAAAAAGAAGAAGAAGAAGCGCGGCGCATGCGCGCGCGGGGGTCTCTTGTGCCCACCCATTCATAGAATCGCGAACGGCGCGCGTGCGCACTGGAGCTCCCTTCCCTCCCATTCATAAAAAAGCCATTTTCCCAGGCAGTGGTTGCAACATCGCCGCGGAGGCTGCGAGAAGCTGACAGCGCGGAGCTGGCGCTGCCGAGCGCAGGAAGCCGTGCCGGTTCCTTCGCCCGGCGTCTGCGAGGACAACGGTGTCTGACCCTCTCGGTTTAGGGGATTTGCACAGACATGGAGCAATGCTTGTGATTCTGCGGCTCCTCAAAGTAAGTCCCTGGCCGGTTTCGGGATCCGAAACTGCCCCCTCGGAGCCGCGACGCGACTCCCCCTTGGGCTGGGGCAAATGGTGCGCTATTTCTAGGCGCGCCTCGGTGTTCCTTCCCTCTCCCTGCGCTTCCCTGAGCCTCTGCGGTGAGCCGCAGCTCCCGGACGCCCTGGGCTGGGCCGGCACGGCGCCGGGGGTGTTCACAGCCTGGCACCGGCGTTTCCAATCCCCAGGCATTGCCAAGCCCGGCTTCCCCGCACTCTGCGATTCGGGAAGCCCCGTGCGTGCCCCGGGAGTTTGTCTCTGGCCTGGCCGCTTAACTCCTGCCACCACCCGCCTCGGGCGCTGGAACGGGCTGCTCTGGGCTCCGTAAGGAACCACCTTTTGAGTCCGGCGGGCGCCCTCGCCCTGGGCGGCTCGCCCACCCCGGGCTCGGTGCCCACGATGCCAGCTCTGCCGTAGATCTTCCCAGCCAGCCGCAGCGGCCTATACTCGACGTAGGTATTCTTTCCCCTTCGGAGTCGTGACGGACTGGCTTTTCTCCCCTTCTGCCTCTCCCCTCGATGGTCAGCGCTGGGCTGGCCCGGGACTTGGCATTTCTGCTCTCTCTTTGGCGAGGCGGTTTCTCGCCGTCTGACCTTTGCTCTGTTGCCGCATTTTATGCTGTGCAACTGCCTTGCAGTTAGTTGCCTTTTCCTCTCCGGCCTCTACAGGGCCTGAGGCTCCTCGGCCTCCTCGTGCCTCCCTATCCCCGGGCACCGAGCTGTGCCAGGCGCCGGGCCCCCGGGCCGCTCTGGGGCTGTGGTGGGGGCTGAAGGTGCGTTTACATAACGCTGGGCGTGTGGGAGCTGGAGGAAGAGGTTGCGTGCGTAGGAGAGATAAGGCCCCCGCTTTCCCTCCTTCCTTCTTGGTGGTACCAGGCTTGACATCACCGAGAAGAGAGAAGGACAGAGACGGTACGTTCTGAAAAATCTGAATCGTCAAGGCCAAGGGTCAGTGAAGGGGGGCCAGGGTGGATTTGGCCAGCCAGGGCAGCTGGAGCTTGGCTCCATCACTGGGGCCAGGGCTGTGCCCAGTTCCCCCTCTATGCAGACGATCAAAACGCATTTAGACAGTAGCTGCTCTTGTGCAAGAAGACGGTTTCTCAATTCTTTTTGATTGGGGGTTGTGCGCAGAAGAGGCAAGAGAGGCAGAAAATGGTTACATGGCTTGACGGGCTGAGCAATGGAAGGAAAAACGAACTGGGCTGGAGGGGCTGGATGGTGGGGAGAGGGCAGAGCTGCTCGTTGCCTCATTCACCAGCTGCTGGATGGGCATCCATATTGCCAGGCCTGGGTGAGGGCAGGAGGCCTTCTGGAGCATGGAGGCTTTGGGAGCCCCCCAGCACGATTAGTGCTGAAAGGAAAGGTGTGCATTCAGTGGAGTGGCCAGACCCAGTGGAGGACTCCCTCTCTCCTGCCACCAAATCAGTATCGTGATCCACTCCAGTTTGCAGAGGGGTAGGAGCAAGTGCATGTCTGTCCAGTTAGCTGACCAAGGCTCTCCAGTCTTTCTGATGAGCCTCTCAGTAATATAAAGCTGTAAACTGAAGGCCCAGCTCATTTAGGAAATACGGGTTTATCAATCTCTTCATAAGCTCTGTCTGGCCTGAGGCCCTATCCAATATTGCGCTGGTGATTTCACAATGTTTAGAGTTCTCTAGATCTTCACACGAATGGAGCGTAAACATCTGAAATTTTCAGCTTTTTTTTCCCTTCGCGTGTGGGTGTGGGGCAGACTAGAAAAGGGAGGGCTGCAGTTGGCCTCTACACTTCTCTCTCCCTCTCTCTCTTTCACTCTCTCTCTCTCTCAGCAGAATGGTGGGAAAGAAGTTGTAGACATGTCCTGTGTGAAATTGAATTTCCTCTTTCCCAGCCCTTGGGAGGGTCCTCACTTGCCAGCAGGCTCCAGGCAAATCCTAATGTGAGCAGAGCACACAATGACCAACTGAGCTGCGTGGCCAGTACCGGGTAGGGGGCTTTTTTTTTGGTGGGGGATTTCTGAAATCTTGATGGACAGGTGTTGGTCATCTAGGGTGAGGAACACTTTAAAGACATCTCTTGGTTATCTTCCTTTGTAGATTCTGAACTCAGGAGTCATTCCCATTTTTGTGGAGTGTAAATGCTCTCCTCATTCCCACAGCCTTTTCCAGATTACCCTCTGAAATGGTAAGGTCTCCTTAAAGCTTTGGTTGGGTTTGGTGGGAGGAGACAGGACACACAGAATGGAACAATTCCTGTCTAAATCAGGGCAGAGGCAGGGGACTGGTTACCATTTGGAGCTCTTCAATATCATTTTTGTTTTCATCCTTCCAGAACAGGTGTAGAGATGAGGCTCTTTGGAACTGCACCTTCTGTCCAGTTCATACTCTTTACCCACCCACACCCCCACTCTGGTAAACATGACAGTGCCACTGACCAGAGTTTTACTGATTTGAATAACAAATAAAGGCAGCCTTGCAGTGCAAGATTTGACAGTCAGTGTTTTAAAGATTAAGGGCAGAATAAACACCCTTTAATACCCCCCAGAAGTGACCCTCAAGGGGTGCTACTCTGGGGCTTAATACTTTAGCATCCCATATGGGGATTTCTCTTCCAGTTCCTGATGCTACAAGTCCTTTGGTGTGATATCTTGCAGCCCTCCGTTTTGGGCTCCCACAAACCATCCATTTGTGTGGGTCCTGGGTGTTGGTACCAGGGGGGCTTAGAGAGGAGCTCCCCTCCCTTTCTCTAGAGAAGAAGCCCAGCATTCTTAGAGAGTCCTGACGTTTAATTGGTTCTGTATCCACACTGCCTGTCATCTGGTCCCTACTGAGGTGAAAGTTCCCTTGTGAGGAAAACTTGGGGAAGGATTCTTGCACACACTTGGATCTAGTTGAAAATTTGGATTTGGGGTGCAGATGACGGTGTCCTTAAGGAAGAAGAATGGCAAGAGTGGAGAAGGTTCCGTCTCTTGGCCAACCTGAATCTCCCTGACAGAAGGGAAAGCAGTGACTCATTGGGATAGATTTTTGCTCTTTCAAAAGAGCCAGAGAAAATGGTTTGAAAATGATTTCACTCCTTCCAGACCAATCTAGGGGCTAGGTCAGAGCAGATGGTGGCTAGGAAACTCGCAAAGCTTGAGCCTTAGTCTCCCTATCTGCAGAATGGGGAGGAGGAACTCCTCCTGTGGGGCCGGGGTCAGCTGAGTAGCTAGCGAGTGTGCAGGGCTAGGACTGCTACTTGTTACGACCAGGCCCCTAATCAGAGGGCCTGGTTTAAGGGAGCCCCTTCCTACACAGGAGGTATGGGGTGTTGCATGATGTAAGAGGCTGCATATTCTTGGCTTTCAGGGGTTGGGGGCCACCCTGCAGATCCGGACAGCTGACAAGGCTGGGGATGTATCCGGGACATGTGGCTGGGCTTAAGAAGCTCCACCGTTCAGCTGTGATCACGATTGTTCTTTCCAAGGACAGTCAGTGGAGGAAGCAAGGGCACTGGGGAGGGAGCCACAGATGTGCTGGATCTAGTGGAGGAGGGAAGAGGCCCTTCTGGGGCAGGTGGCCATTTGCAGAAGAGTGGTTTCCCTTGTCAGGTAGTCTTTCTTTTTCTGATTGGGAGAAAGGGGGAGTCATTTCCTGCCCCATCCCAGGAGTAAGCGAAAATCTATTATGATAAGTAGATTTGTTCCTGGAGGGTGGTGAGCTAACATGATCTTGGTGTCAGTGAGAGGGGTCCCTCCCTTGGGGGTCTAGGTTTCTGCCCCCTCCCACTTTGATGTGGGCCAATTGTTCTAGTGTTAACAGACTTCTTCTAGGCTCATTCTTCTCTGACTCTTGATTTCTAATCCCTCTTTAAGGGGATCTGAGCAGACAACAATTATGGGGGTAATACATTGAAGCTGAAATTTGAAGCCAGTTAGAAAAGCCCAGAGCCAAAGTACAAGACCTCGCCCACTCCTCCTGGCACTGGGCCTTCGGAGCTCACTGATTGGTTGTGGAAGAGGAAGAGAAGAGGGTTGGGAACAGATAACTGGTGATGGGACAAAGTGATGAAAAGCAGCTGTTTTCTTTTGTGATGTCTAACAGATTATGGCCAGAGGTGAGCTCCCTAGTGCTGGCGCAGGAGTAGGCGGTAGGACGGGAAGCAAGGATTCTCAGAAATCCAGCTGCCTAAATGCTTTTTTTCTCTCACCAGGGCCATTCTCCACAAAGATGCAGAGATTGTCTTCCTCAGTAGGGTGTAGGGCAGCCAAGTCCCTGGCTTCCCTCCCCCTCCTCTTTAAAGTCTTTTTGAAGCAATAAGTCATTATTTGGTTGGAACTTAATTAACTAAACTGGGATGTTGTCACAAAGAACCCAGCGATAGTAGTGGGCGGGCTCTCTGGCAGACTAGAGACCTTTTTTCCTCTGAGCTGTGAAAGGGTTAAACAACCTTCACTGAAAACCTGCTGAGACTGAATGGGGCAGTGCAGAAACTGCCCATTCATTCAGAGCCTCTTGCCAGTTTGTCTCCAACTGACCTGTAGTTTTCAAAGCACAACTGTCACCTTTTCCTAATATTTCCGAACTCCTCTCCCCAGGGTAAGTCAAGGGGAAGGGGTGGGTGGGTGGTGCCGACATTTAACATGCTGCTTGATCCTTTTCAGCCAGACTGTATTGAGGGGCCTGACGCTCAGCTCCTCTCCGCAGGTACAAATGCAGTGTCAGACAGCAAGCTGCAAGTACAGGGCTGTGTGCTCTGGGCTTTCCAGTCTCCTGCTGGCTCAGTATTCTAGGATTTTCTTTTTCTGGCTTCCTCCAACCCTGGTTCCTCCTTCCCTTCTCCACAGCCCTGGGCCAGGATTCCCCCTCCATGAATAAGTCCTGGGGACCCTTAATTAAGTTCAGCTTTACAGGTGGGAGGAGAAGGGATTCCCTCCCATTCCTGGGTTTCCTCTTAGGGATTCCTTTGTGGTGAGGGGTTTTACAAGTGAGACCTATTC